ATTTCCCTCTCCCTTAAACGGTGGAGATGAGAGAAGAGATTGGATATAATTTACAAATTGTTATCTGCTACTGCTGTAGCGATAAGACAGACAAGGAGAGAGAGAGAGAGAGAGAGAGAGACACAGAGAGAGAGAGAGAGACAGAGAGAGAGAGAGAGAGAGAGAGAGAGAGAGAGAGAGAGAGAGAGAATGTTTTGATGTTTTCATTGAGTTCCATTGTCCAAAACAAAATAAAGAAACAGAGGTAAAATAGAAAGGGCGCTTGTGGGGGATTATACGACTTGTACAAACAAGTAATTTGATAAGAATATCAAACTTCCGCGTTCCGGAGACCCCCCCCCCACTCCCCCAGGTAGATAATGTCACAATTAAACCGCATTCTTATTTCTTATATCCATGCTCTTGCAATAATAATCCAAAGAATTATTCAGTGAAACCACAGCTGAAGCCACAAGTTATCTGAACCTTTCATTCTTCTATTTCACTTCAGAAGTTACATTCCAAACAGTAGATGCACCGATCATATGATATTAACGAAATATTATTATTTTTATTACGACATGCGTTATTATTTTTTTCATTATTATTTTCTTCATGATTATGACGATGATGTTATTATGATTATTTTTTATTATAATAAATTAATTAGTACTTTTATTGTTGTCGTTATTATTATTTTATTATTGTGATTATGATTATTATTATTATTATTATGATGATGATGATGATGATGATGATGATGATGATGATGATGATGATGATGATGATGATGATGATGATTATTATTATTATTATTATTATTATTATTATTATTATTATTATTATTATTATCATTATCATTTTTATTGTTATTATTATTAATATTAAAATTATTATTACTCGTGTTTTTCAGATGGACACTTTCGTCTCGTCTCTTTTGTTTGTTTGTTTGTTTTTGTTTTGTTTTGTTTTCATTCTTTTTAAGAAACATTTATTTTAAGCTGTCGTACAAAAGGAAATACATGACTCGGTATCTACCCCCCCCCATCCCCCCAACCCCAGTAAAAAAGTGAAAAGGAAAGGAAAGACATAGACAGAATGAAAGAACTAAAGACCGAAAGAAATAACAGAAAGAAAGAAAGAAAGGAAGGAAGGAAGGAAGAAAGAAAGAAAGAAAGAAATTAATGTAAGAACATTGGTCAATGAAAAGGTTAAATGATATAACAAAATAAGAGGCAAAATGTGTAGATGAAGTGGGCTTGGGCGTAGGGGTGGAGGTGGGGGTGAGGCTTAAACGTATTTAATCTGTTTGTTCCGGTTGACGGCGTGCTTGTAAATCCCTGTACCACACTGTGGAGTTGTGGTAACCTTGCTGAAAAATTAGTATAACCTGGCAGAGAGTTTCTCGGTGCGCTGTTAACCCTTTCACTGCGAAATGCACTCTACAATCCCACCAAACGCACAGCCAAACCCACTCTACAATCCTACCAAACTCACAGCCAAACCCACTCTATAATCCTACCAAACTATTAGCCAGACCCACTCTACAATCCTACCAAATTCACTGTCAGACCCACTCTACAATCCTACCAAACTCACAGCCAAACCCACTCTAAAATCCTACCAAACTCACAGCCAGACCCACTCTACAATCCTACCAAACGCACAGTCAGACCCACTCTATAATCCTACCAAACTCACTGCCAGACCTACTCTACAATCCTACCAAACTCACAGCCAGACCCACTCTATAATCCTACCAAACTCACTGCCAGACCTACTCTACAATCCAACCAAACTCACTGCCAGACCTACTCTACAATCCAACCAAACTCACAGCCAGACCCACTCTTGTCTAGCCACTGTTGTCTATAGCAGGCAAGGGCCTGGCCCAAATACTTCTCAATCGCTTGTTGAAGCATCTCTCTTCAAATGACGCCTTACCTGAAAGTCAGTTAGGCTTCCGCACAAAAAAGGTCACAGTTTTTGCAGACAGGCAGATCCAGGAAAAGTGCATAGAGCATTAAAAAGCCTTATACATGCCTTTTGTTGAGCTAACAAACACCTTCAATATCCTTAGTTGGGAAGGCTTTTAAAATATCCGAGCAAAGTACGCTTACCCGCCAAAGTTCATTACTATGGGGCGCCACTTTCATGACGACATGAAAGCCAGTGTCGAAAGCAAAGGCGATATGTCTGAAGCTTTTTTATCGAGAGCAGGCTGCTTCGACTATAGCTGTGAGGGTCAAACAGAACGGAGTGAAATAAAGCATCCTTTGGTTGTTTTTTTTAAAGTGATTTTTAGTGGGGGTTTCACGACACTTGCAACACAATAAGTCATATGTGAGACATCGTGATGAAATCAGGCGCTCATCAAAATATTGAAACCGAAGAAACCGGCAATTTTCAGCCAGTTTGGCATTTAAGATAAAATGTTATTTGGCTCAACGCTTTACGCGTCTAATTGAAAAGACATTTCAGTTTGGAGTTTTACAGAAAAATGTGGATTAAAGACACAAAAAATTGCAGTTTTTCTATTTCCATAGACTCTCAAGCTATGGAAATTATCAAACCTTGGCCGCCATTTTCTCGCTAGTTTAACCCCTGAAACCAGTCGACCCCGACTTCCTCAAATCACAAATATCTCGACTTCTATTTGAGACAGATCGGAATTTCTTTCATCGAAAGCAATACAAACGAAAAAGCTTTAAGATGATACCAATAACTCCACATGCCCCAAAATTGACGAGCGCCTGATTCCACCGTGTCGTGACACACTTAAGTGCTGAAG